CCGGCAAAACAGCAAGAACCCACCCCCCCCCCCCCCCGACCAGCAGAAGTGGATACAGGTGCCCCACCCCCCGGATGACCAGCAGCAGCAATCAACAACTCATGAAATAAATGCACATTTCCTCTTGTTTTATCCCTTTGAAGACCATGCAAGTACAGAAAAAAACCCTTTGATCTGTTAGAAATGCACTCAGCTCCAAATTCCTATACACAGCAAATGTGTGGACTGAGTGGTGTCAGCCCTGCCCAGTTTTCTCATCAAACCACTTAGACCCACCCACTTTCCCATTACCACAACATAAAGGCTAATTATTTTGTTGCCCGTAGGAGGGCTAACTACCCATCTTGAGGTAACACAGGAAGTGTGCACAGGACAGCTCTGAATTTCTGAGTGCTGTCAGCCCTGCCCACTAAACTACTCAACCACTCCCATTGTCTTCTTATGCACAGCACAGGAACTAATTCACTTGTAGTCCAAGATAAGAACACAGATGACTAAATAATCTTGAGATAACACAGGAAGTGTGCCAAGAACATAGAACAGCTCTGAATTTCTGACAAGTTAATCAGATATTTATTTGTATTTATATAACAAATATAAAAAACGTTCAATGGTATATTTAACAAGCAAAAAGGGAGAAAATAAAAGACATCAATTTGTTAGGGGTTTTTTTTTACACTTAAAGCCAAAAAAAGTCAACACAGAAAGTGCAATGGCACAGAAGGGTCCATTCACGTATCTGTATGTGCTTTAACCACCTTCATTATTATATCGCGCAATAATTTTCCCATCAAGACATTCATTCAATTCACATAGCATAATATAATAATATGACACTGAGCACAACAGGAGACGCTCCTACTTTATTCTGGAGTTTCCTTTATGGCTCAGGCATGCTCAGTTAAAGTAGAACTCCATCCAAAACATTTTTTCTTTTGGATAGAGTGGGAAAAGGTTATACGCTGCAGTGCAGTGGTGCTGGTTAGGTGCTTTGGGGTGCCATTCTAAGCTAAAATGGCCATGCATGGTATGTGCAGGGATCGAAGCCATTAGGAGGAGCTGTGCTTTGTGATTTCCTTAGTGTCCAACCTTCTAAAGGCAGGGCATATACCCAGTGCCGGTGCTAGGATTCTTGTCTATTCAGGGCTGACTCGCCGCTGCTCTCCCGCACCGAAGGTAAATGAAAAAAAAAAAATCATAGTGCAAGCATCGGGGCATTTTGCCAAGTACAAATACGTGTCAAAATGCCCTGTTTTTTCTGCCCTCACCCTGCAGCGCCCTCAGGCGGCCACCTGACTTGCCTTGCGGTAGCGCCGGGCCTGCATATACCCAAAGACGTGCTCTGTCTTCCAGTGATTGCTATGGCATTTCAATGGTAGTCAAATGCGATGCAAACAGTGCTCAGCACACTATGGTCACTTATCCGCAAACCCTTCACCAACAAGATGTGAGTTCCGTGTAGAAAACTGGCCAGGATTAGAACTTTTTACTGTCTTCTGTTCTGACAATCTCCTGAACCTTCTACAGATGGATCTATCATGCACACGCTTGTCAATGTCTTCCATCACAATATACATCCGCTATTCCTCACCTGCAGTGAACGACGATGGGTCCGGCATGGGCAGGATTGAGAAATTTGACTTTTTTAAGGAATTTCAGCATGCCGATGGGTGTGAAAGGGACTCCAAAGTCAGGCCAGCTGGTAAAGTGCAATTGTGTCACCAGTCTGGGGGCCTTGCAGCCATCGTGGACCTGTATGGTAAGGTGAGGGGCAAAAAATTAGATTTATTCAAGTCATGCTATGCATGCACACAGAGCAGCAAGGGGATTTGGAAAAAGGTTGCTTTAAAAGTGTTAGACACATGAACTGAGTTTAATATAGATTTAACCCTTAATATGATTAATTTTGTAGCGATCAATCACATAGGATTGCTGCTTTTTAAAAACTTACTTTACATGCAGAAAATCTTAAACACCATGAACTGCTAAGATGTGATATGGGTAACAGGGGTGTTGCTAGACCCTGGCAGCCAAAGCATATGACTCAGGTCTTCTACCAAGTGCCCCAGGTCTTCAACTAAGTGCCCCAGGTCTTCTACTAAGTGTCATAAGTCTTTGAAGTGCCCTGAACTGTCTTCTACCAATTGCCCAGGTTTTAGTCTTTGTAGCCTGCTCTCCTCTCTGACACGCTGTCACAGGAGGCTGAGCGAGCGGTGCAGGGAGGAGAGCCCAGCCTCCTGTGACAGCGCTGTCTCCGCCCCCACACCGCTCTACCCCACTGTGATAGGCGGCCGAGCAGTGTGGGAGGAGAGACACAGGCCGCTCACATCGCTCTTGTCCCGCAGCACTCGGCCGGCTGTCACTTTCTCTCCTCCCCGCTTGGACACAGAGCAGCGCCCAGCGGGGAGGAAAGAAATCACGGATGCGCCGATGTATCGACAGGAAAATGGAACTTTCGGCATTTAGCCAAAAGTGACATTTTCGGACGATATGTTTCGGCGGCCGATATATCGGTGCATCACTAGTAACAACATTTTCCTTTGCAATTCTTTTAGATTATGTTGGGTAGATAATTTCATGAATAAGAACATCTTTAAAAAACAAAACGTTTTTTCCCACTACCCCACACTATGAGCAAAGAGCTGGAGTGCTGATGGCTCAGTACTAAAGGAGAGAAGCGGGATAGGGAACAGAGACCCAAAAACAGGAAAGACAGCAAAGAAAAAGGAGAAGGATTAGGGAAGGGATGAAAGAGAGGACAAGTACATCCACTTTTCATCCAGGCCCACAGCGTTTCAGTCTAGGTGCCCAGGGGTGTCTTTTGGGATACTGACAACATCCCTGATAGCCAGTATGAACGTTCCTTTCCTGCAGCATTTCACAACTTAGCATTTGCCCCACATGTTGTAGATCCCAATGACTTATGAGGCCAATCAGGATTCCAAATTCTGAGTAAGAAAAAAGTGATGTGTTAATGACTTACAGGTTGTATGCAGAACTTTCGTATCGTGTAGTCTACAAGGACAATAACGTCCTCCACAGAGACTCTGATGTTACCGTAAATCCAGCAGCCTTGGTCAGGCCAGTATGGGTAACATTTGTCCTGGAAAAAAAAGATGAAAGAGGTGATTAAAATCATTCAAGATGTAAGAAGATAGTTCACATTTTCAGGGGAATTTATCAAAACTGTAACAGACAAAAAATCTGGAGCAGTTGTCCATGGCAACCAATCAGTTTATCTCGTTCATTTTCAAAGCTTAACTGAACAAACTGAAGAGAGAAGCTGATAGGTTACTATGGGCAACTGCTCCAGACTCTGTCTGCTTCGGCTTTTATAAATTCTCCACTTTGAGAGTTTTTTTCGATTTCCCTACAGCTAAGGAATGCAGTAGTGTCCCCTCCCCGCCTGCTGATTGGACAATGAAGGAGCAGGAAGACACGGATAAGTCACTAATTCTGCTCCTGTCAGAATGTTCACTTGCATGTTCACCGTAAGCACATGTGCATGTAGCAGAGCTTGATTGGTTTCTAGTGCTGCCCCTCCCTCTTCCATTGCTGCCTCTGCAAGGCATGACAGGAGGCTGATATAATAAGATTTGGGTACTTATGCTGGCTGAATAAAAGGTCCAGCTTTAAAAAAAAACAAAAACTGCGCACATATTAATAAAATAATTTATGATTTTTTTCCTTTGAGCCTGCAACCATGATTAGTGTATTGCAGGTGCAATGCTCAGGCTCCTGCAGACTCTTCCTCTCAGCCCCTGTCCATACTGAGGTATGGACTTTTATTAATGGGAAAGGAGGAAGTATGAATGGATGTCAGCACACCTGTACACTATTGAAAACTCTGCCAGGGTGGCGGACTGAACTTGCAGTCTCCATGCCAAACTCAAAAGATGCCAGCCGCCTGTGGGGAGAAGAAACCCACAATTCAGGTACGTGGTGGGGATTGGAAAGGGGTTGAGGGGTTGCGATCTAACCACGTGTCATGTTACACTCTAGGTATGGCTGTGACATGAAACATGGTCTAAACCAGGGGTAGGGAACCTCCGGACCTCCAGCTGTGGTGAAAATACAAATCCCATGAGGCATTGCAAGATTCTCACAGCCACGGGCATGACTCCCAGAGGCAGATGCATGATGGGATTTGTATTTTCCACACAGCTGGAGGGGCTGTAGGTTCCCCACCCCTGGTCTAAACCGTAAACTTGGCCTTTAAGGAATATATTGAATTATTTTTAAAGGAGTAAACCATTACATTATACTATGTCTTCATATCTGCCTTGAATTTGGCTTTAATTACTTAATGTCTTTGCATTCTTGTCCCCACCGTCTGCATAAAATGACTATATTTCCTCTTTAACCTTGACAAACACAGTGATAACAATCTTCTTCAACAGCCATTAGTGTTATCTGTACAAGGCAGTAAATGCTTTGTAGTCCATGTATTAAAATTCAGAAAGAGCCCATCGCCATAAATCATAAGAAGCGAGACCTCATGGTATCATCACCAGCCTCGTTCTTCACTCTCGGGCAACCTTGGAGCAAATTACAGAACATGCAAGTCGCACTGATGCCACATTCCCACCAGCATTTCCTTATTGCGGCCTCACCCCTTCTTACATCTCCTGAACTTTAACACTGGCTCTGTGCCAGAACACGAGGCGGAACCCTGCAGAGAGAGAGACTAATGTATTCCAATAAACGGAAGGTCACCTCTTTTCTTTCTTTCACGTTGGTGAGCATGACTATGGTCGCCGACTTCTGTTCCCAGATCATCCTCCAAAAGTCGTTGACTGTGTCTTGCTTGGGACCTGTGGGGGGAATACCATCAGTTCTGGATGTCAGACCCATAAATCTTTGCTTCTTATTTGAATACATTTTATTTAGGTTTTGTTTTTTTCACAACAACCTGAAATTCTACGTTAAAGGAAACCTCTTATTTGGGACACTAGCCTATGGAATACATTTTGTTCCATGCATTGAGCTCACCTGCTTTGGACCCAGAACGTGGCTGAAGTCATGTTCATATATACCGGGGGGGGGGGTTTAGGCAGATGCTGGCCCTCCAGCTGTGGTGAAACTGCAAACCCCATCATGCATCTACCTCTGGGAGTCATGCCTGTGGCTGTCAGAGTCTTGTAGTGCCTCATGGGATTTGTAGTCACATCACAGCTGGAGGGTCTGAGTTTGCCTACCCCTGATTTACACTATGGGGTTGACCTATAAACCGTTCGCACAGCGAGCAATATCTTCTATGTTGTATGGCCACTAGATGGAGCTGAGGAGCATAGGGCATTCCTATCGGCTCCATCTAGTGGCCACAATGAGCTGCAAATCTCATTCACATTGCTGTCCGCTGTGCGAACGGTTCATAAATCAACCCCTATATGACCAAATGTATGTGGATAAGCTTTCAAGTTATTGAGTTGAGGTGCTTCCAGTAAAGGGAACAGTTAATGCTACAACAAAGACATTTGTGTGCTTCCAACCCTGGGACAACCATTTGAGGAAGGGTCCTTTCTGTTCTAGCATGACTGCAGCTCTGTGCACAAAAAAGGCAGGGCATCCATGCTATTAGCATACACTATTGTACAATGCAATACACTGCATGCTAGGTGCACTTCATTGTTGGGGGTGCATTGGGGTGCCATTAAGAATGAATGGCAACACATCAGTGTACCCCGTGTGCGGTGCATTCCAATATGCCATAGTGTGCTCTAAAACTACAGATACTGTGCTCTTAGTGCAACACTATGGGATGGGAATACGTTCTACCCTGTCCACAGAGTGGCAACACTTCTGTGTAATTTCATATCTGAATGAACAGCGTTGTCACCCAGTTAAAGTGAAACTGAAGAGGAAAAATAAGAGATTTACTTGTAGAATCAAAAGGTAATAAAACCAAAAAACTGAGGGAACTCCTATTACAAATCCAGTATATACGACAATTGCTATGGCAGTCGTATTTGTTATATTGCTATTTAATAAAAGGCACATTTTAAGGATTCCAACATACAAGCTGCAAAAGGAGTGGAAGTCCCTGCTGTCCACATTTCCACCAGACGGTTGCTGTACGAGTGTCGTACAGGACTCAATGGCAGATTTTTATATTCATTTCCTGAGCCTCGCCCTAAGCCTAAAAAAAGCCCTGTGCTTTCTGCAAGCCTAACGTGACGCACACCGCACACCTCTTAATGAACAGCAACTTGTCAATGAGGGTGGAATGTCACACATTTCACTTAGGAAGTCTATAGGGCGGGAAGAAAAAACAATACCATATATTCGCTGTCTCTTCCTGTTTCAGTACATTCACATAAGTGTTTACAGTGCTGAGCAATACGGTATGAATGGCTTAAAGGTAAAGTCCGCTTTTTGGGGGATAAAAATAATAATAAATGCACACATCTTCATCAAAAATGTGAATTTATGATTGTTTTGCATTGGAGGTAGTAAAGCATTTCAACCGCGATCAGTGACTCAGTACATAGTGGGGGCAATTCTCTGACTCCTGCAGATTCTCCCACCCGTCCTTTCTTCATAGTGAGGTACGGACATTCAGTAACATGGACGTGAGGAAGAATGACTGGACTACAAGTGGGGTGGCGTTACCCCACTTGTTAAAGGATCTGTGATGACACAGCGGTTTGGGTAGACCCCTAATGTATTAAAATGCTTGTGTGTACAATATGAACTCTTAAGCTAGCCATACACTATACGAATTTTGGCCAGTTCTTTATGAAACGGCCAAAAACCACACAGTGGGTGCTGCTGTCAGCACCCGTTTGGCCGGCATCCCTCGATCAGCTCATCGAAGGAGCTGGTCGGAAAATCTTCGAACAAACAGACCCAGCAGCCAATGAGCTACTGGCTCTGGTTGGGTATTCTGGCAGCATCCGTTAGCCACTGTCAGAATACAATGAAGACAGTGGGGCTCGTTAGTATTGATGGAGGAATCTGTAATAATATTCGTTCAACCCCTCAGGTTGAACAAAGAAAATAATACAGTGTATGGCCAACCTGAGATTGCCTAGGCAATGGGGTTGATTTACCAAAGGAGTAGAGTATGTTCACTGTTGAATTTTCCCTTAGCTTAGTGAATGTGGTGAAAATTTGCTTTGCAACTGCGTTCAAGGAAAATGTGAAAATAAAAAAAAATCATATTTTTGCTTGCACATAATTGGATAAAAGAAGTCAGCAGAGCTTCACTAAGCTAAGGGGAAATTCCCTTGCAGAGTGAACAGCCTATACTCCTTCAGTAAATCAACCCCCATGTTTCTACTGAGCGCACCTCCCAGATCTGAATTCTCATACGTTCGCTTAGTTACCTTGAGCTGCTATGAATTTGTTTTTCTCTTTATAGCCCTGAAACGAGAAAAGAGAGAGGAGGAGATGCAATATGCATCAGCTGTGCAGAGAAGTGAGAAGAGAACACGCAGGGAACAGATGGAAGGCACGGCTCTTACATCAATGTATGAAGCGTTAATGTAGTCTGAACATACGCATCCTTCAATCGGCGTCAACACGGCTCTGGAGTGGTCATCTGAGAACAAAAGGGAAAAAAGAAATGAAGTTAAATAGTTTCCAGGGGACTTGGAGATTTCTTGGTTACAGTCAGGAGACATTATAGGCCAATTCACACCTATAGGGTCACCACACGTCAATGCACACTCAGGGGTTAGCTATTGTCTTCAATGGTGGTATTTCACATTGGTGTAGTGCAATGATGTCTGTTTTTTGATCCACCAACACACGTTATGGGAATCAGGCGTGTTAAGCTATGACAAGGCACCTACCTAAAGCAATATAATAATGAAGGAAAATGCAGACCCATAGGTATGAAGCCTAGGTAAGGCTAGCTTTACACCATTGCGGTGCGCTAATGTGTGAAAGAATGCAAGTTTTGATGCGCATTACCGCATGGCAAAGATGCGAAGCCAGCTCAGTTTTCACTTTATCTAATCTGACCTGGAGTCACGTCCTGTCTTTGTAACCACTGTCAATGGGACAGGATGTGAGATAAATGCTCTCCAACTGGCATATGGTCAGTATTGCATAGTGGTTAGTACTTAAGGAAGACATTACAATCACAATACATAGAGCTGCAGCTAACGATTATTTTCAAAATCGATTAGTTAGCCGATTATTAAGTTCGATTAATCGGTTAATCGGATAAAAAATACATTTTAAAAAATGGCTCCTTCTCCCCGCGTCCCTGTGCCGATCGTGGATTTGGGCAGGCGGTGAGTGTGAGGCACGGAGGAGGTGCGGAGCGTGGATGCGGGCAGGTCTGGCAGCGGCGAGCGTGAGGTGGGGAGGAGGTGTGGCGCGCAGCGTGTGTGGAGCCGTGAACAGGGCCAACCAATCAGAAGCCGATTAATCGATTATTGAAAAAGTTGACAACTTTTTCAATAATCGATTATAATCGATTATGTCGATTAGTTGTTGCAGCCCTAACAATACAATTCAAGACAAGATGGTAAGGAGGGCCCTGCCCGTGAGGGCTTACAATCTAAAAGGGAGGGGCAAGTGATACATGAGGAGGTAGCTGTGTGGGGGATTAATTGTTTGAGAACGTGATGGTTGAGCGGTTATTTTGAGGTGGGATAGGCTTCCTTGAAGAGATGAGTCTAACTTATGCGTTTGCAGCACTGGGGTCCTCAGTCTAAATCCCAGCCAGAACACCATTTGCATGGAATGTGCTTGTTCTTCTTGTGCTCTCGTAGGTTTCCTTCCAAAGACCTGTTCAAAAGGATGGATGTTTGCCTTTTGCATGCACTACGTTTTTGCAATGCATGGTATTGGGGTACCCTACATTGGGCTGCAATGCACAGCTGACGGGAGGTGCGTTGGGGTGCTATTTAATAGTAAAGCAACACAACTAGTGCATGGTACCGCATAATAGGTGTGCTCTAAACGCTTGGTTATGTGCTCTCAGTGCAATGCTATAGTGTGACCAATTATAAGGGCACATTCACACCTATGTGTGTGCATTGTCATGCCAGCTGCAATGCATGCCCATACTCATGAATGGGCCCATACTCAGTAAAGCACAGCATAGAGCAGAGTTATGAAATTTCTGCATCACCAGCATCCCTGCTACAAAGCTCAGTGTACTGTTGCAGGGAGTACGGGGATGCCGTATTTTAGAAAACACCAGGGGTCCATCTCTCCAAATCTCTAAAAGAAAGAGAGAAGCCGGAAAGGCCAAACTTTTTTTGGGGGGGAGGAAGAAAGAGCAAAAGTTTTTCTTTTTAATCACTACGTTGGGAAGTTGTGCTGCATTTCGATCCAGTGGTGTTTTCTAATGACTTGCTGAATTATTAAGTTCATGGGAAAAGAACAGGCAATGACCTGGCGAAGTTATAGCAGTATTAGGACTCATTTTCTGCAGTGGACGTAGAAAGTACAGAGACAAGCTGGAGGGTACTCTGGGACCTCCTCGTCACCTTGCCAGCTTTACTAATGAGCAAAGCAGCGTGAAATGCTTCTACATATTTTATAATTGCAATAGCATTAAATGAAAGTCTTTTATAGCATACCGATGACTCCCTCCATGATAATTATCTCTCCCTATTTAGAAATAACACCTACACAAACCACATTTCTATCAGCGAGCAGTAATCAGCTAGATCATGTATTAACCCCTCGTTAGGGTATACCTAGCTTGTAAACCCCACAGACGTCCACGGAACATCTGATGTGTGCAACAAGACAGGTCCTTTAAAGGAACAGTCCACTAATATAAGTATTTGATTGCAATACCCTGACCACCATCATAATTCATCCAGGATTGTCTCTTAGATTTGATAGGATTTTGCTGTCTCTTGCCTGTGCTTTCCACTTTGAGATCTCCACGCTATAACTTGTTGTGTTTAAATATTAATAACTGCCCAATCTGTGATGTGTATGAAGACGAATAGCGATATATCGGGTGGCCAATCATAAACTCTGAATCCATAGACTCTCTCTCATAGAAGTATTTGTTTGGGGGCTATAGTCCATTAGTCCTTTCTAATTGCTTTTATGTTACAAATAATCTCATGCTCAGACAATGATTTTTACTGGCAAACTCTCAGATTTACTGATATAAACTGCAGTAAGTGACCCTGGAGCAGATTTCCTAACATGTAAGCTTAGCTAAGGTGACAGTGTTCACTGTGAAAGTCTGATCAATTGTAGGGGGATTTGAGAAAGCAGAGCTTCTCCCTGCATGTTAAAAGTACTTGGTGTTCTGGGAACTTTTGGGGTCCTATGTCTAAACAACTGGGAGAGCTATTCCCCCTGTGAATCTCTGTAAACATTCATTGTGTAAAAATAGAGGCAAAAAACGAACGTTTTTGGTAAATTTTCTTTTCAGGTTGAATGCAACATTCAGAAAATACCACATTATGGCCACTAAATGGCGCTGAGGAGCATAAGAAATCAATACTTTTCTTTTCAGGTCAAATGTAATGTAATACTGTAATATGGCCACTAGATGGAGCAGAGGAGCACAGAGAATAAATACTTCTTTCCTATGCTAAAAAAAACCCATGGAGGCTGCCATGGCTGGCTGTCATGCCAATCCTCTTGCCTCAATGGAACAAGTATGTAGATAAGGACTCCCACTTTTCTGGTCTGCATACTTATCCCTGGTCAGTGGCACTGAAACCAGTGAAGCCAAGGGGTCAGTATAACAGCCAGGCAGCTAGTATTTTCCCAAAGAGGTCAGCATTGGTATCCTTATTATTTTTCTTATGACAGGTGTCCTTTAAGAATAAAATAGACGGAATCACACAAGCACAGAATGTGTTCTTAGCCTTGGGCACAACACACCCATAAAGCAGCGTTCATTCTTGGAATGTATTCATAGATTAAAGACCTGTTAAACTCTGTTACACAATTGCGGCAATAGGTTCTATGGTGTCAGATCTCACTTTCACTTTGATATGGGCTGACAATGCTCCTTGACACGTGCCGTGTATTCACCATATTGGCCAGAAACAACAGCACATTTACATATCCATCCAAATTTCTACGCACCCAGGCGATACAAATTGTACAGGCCTACATAGGCAACTGATGACAGTGTGATTACACAGAACACCCAGCAATACAATGCAACTCAATGGGGAGGAGGTTGGACACCACATGACTGAAAATGGCGCTACAACTACCTACAACTACATGCAGTTGAGGCATTACTAGGAAACAGAAGATTCTGGAGCTGAGACATTGGCGCTGGTATCTTTGAGCACTGGAAGGCCAGGTCTTCTGTGCATTGGATGCTGGCGCATGAGACCTCAATATGCAAAAAAGGGGTTACATTTAAACTAGGCAGGATTAGTGTTAGGGCTAAACTAGGAAGGGTTAGTGTTAGGGCTAAACTAGGAAGGGTTAGGGCTAAACTAGGGAGGGTTAGTGTTAGGGCTAAACTAGGGAGTGTTAGTGTTAAGGCTAAACTAGAGAGGGTTAGTGTTAGGGCTAAACTAGGGAGGGTTAGTGTTAGGGCTACAGAGTGGGCGAGTGTGATTATTACCGGGAGGGTTACTATTAGGGTTACATAAAGGAACAGTGTTAGGGTTACAGGGAGGGTTAGTGTTACGGTTACATAGAGGGTTACAGAGAGGAATAGTGTTAGGATTATAAGGAGGGTTCGTGTTAGAAATACAGGGAAAGTGACTGTTAAGGTTACAAGGAGAGTTAATGTTAGGGTTACAGAGAGGGAATGTTTAGGGTTGCTTGAAGGGTTAGGGTTACAGTGAGGGTTACTGTTGGGGTTACAGGAAGGCTTAAGTGCTAAATTTGACTTACAGAAATAATTTATGCTAGGATTGGAGTTACAGACACAGTTAGTGTTAGGGTTACAGACAGGGTGTTAAGAGGGAAAGTTGGTGTTAGAGTTACGGTTACAGAGAAAATTAGTTACAGGAAGGGTTGGTATTGGGGTTACAGGGTCAGTCAGGGTTATAGGGTTGGGTTACATATTAGATTAACTAGTATTAATGAGGATTAATACTAGAATTACAGGGGAGTTAGTGTTAGGGTTACAGAGAGGATCTGTGTTCGGGATAAATGAAGAATCATGCTTATTGGGTTTGGGTTTTAGAGAGGGTTTTTGTTAGAGGGAGAGTTAGGGTTCCAGAAAGAGTTAGTGTTAGGATTGGAGTTACAGGCAAAGTTAGTGTTAGGGTTATGGGGGGGGGGGGGGGGGGGGGGGGGGAGCCGAAAGAAGAGGAGGGTGGGGTAAGGGGTAGTGGAGAAAATTAGGAAGTAGAA